TAGACTGTCCCAACAACACACCCTAACTGCAGATGCTCCTCGGCTCCCACGGGGCTGCATCCCAAGAAAGCCACTGCAGGCTGATAACAGTCAAAGCACACTGGACATCCCCGACCTGCCGAATGCTGCAGCTGAGCCCGGCCTGCCATAGACGCGCCCATTAAATACACTCAGGTGACTTGCATGCCCACAGTCAGGCAAAATCATCTAACACAGAACCCATTTTATAAAAGTGTCACGTATCTAACGCGATTTACTGAATCCTGCATTGAAAGTCAAAAACAGGATGGTGGGAAGTAAAAAGAGAAACCTCCAAGTATGGTCTCAGCAATGAACCATTTTCCCCACCCTCATAAAATCCAGTCCCACCATCAGCACGTCAGGGGCAGTCTCAGTTTACAAGAACAAACGCTAAGGCATGGCTGAGGGGGAGCCCAGCTAGGGGCTGGGCATTAGAGCGTCGGGAAGAGAAGGCCCTCAGTCATGTGGTTACGAGCCAGCAGCCCGAGCTTCACGCAGCGCGGAGCACACAGCCACGGAACTAATGCCCAGAGAACAATGCCCGGTTCAAGGCCAGGAGGCCACAGCACGTGCCCAGCCCCACATGCGGCGCGGGGTGGGGGGTGTAGGGCGTTCCCTGGGGCTTTCTCTGTCCCCAGCCCTCCACCCCAAACCAAAGCCATCTTCGCTAACAGCCCTGCGCAGTCCCCAGAACTGCACACGGGAGTCACGTCTCATATGCGAGTTTCCAAATGCCCGTCTATATCAGGAGCTCAGTTTACCCAAAAATACAGAAGGAAACTCATCTGGTACCTCGGTGTCATCTACTTCATTTTCTTCAGAAAGGTTGGGTATTTCAATCAACCCCTTGTGCTTCGCACCAGATTCTTTCATTGTGCCTAAAATAAGCAAAATGGGAGTTCTTTAATTGAATAGTAGCAATTGGTTTGATGCCCAATTGCCTGGTCTGCCTGACCAGAAAGCCCACACGCCCTCCTGTGACCTTGCTCCATGGCTCCTAGCAGAGCTCAGCAGGCAAGAAATGGCCAAGAAGGCTTGGCCATAAAAGTGCTGGTGACCCCAGGGACCAGCCGTCCTGAGACCCTTCAGGGAGAGGGCAGACAGAGGGAGGCACTTCTGACAGGGCCTCGCCGCCTGCCTCAGCTCACAGTTAGCTGGGCTTGCAGGCATCTGCAGCAATGCCTGGCATGTCCAGTGGGCACTGGAACCACGCCTAGCCCTCCTGTGGCCTCCAGCCTCCCAAGAGATGGCACTCGTGTGCTCCCACACACGGGCCCCAGTTCCTCTTGTCCCACGTACACCTGCCAGGTTAAAGTAGGTAGGATCAAGGGCCACATGGAAGGGGAGAAGCAGCAGCACAAGGTATGTGGGGACAGAAGAGGACAGTGAGTTCCCATCACGCAGAGGGGAGGGAGGGTATGGCCCTGAGAAGCCCCGTATGGATTGCTCTCAGGACTAGAGTGCTGCCTGCTCCCCAAGGGCCCACCTGCTACCCCAGGACTCACTGCTAAAGGCGACAGCACGAGAGGACAGGGAGCCTCAGCCTGTGGCTGGCTGCTCCAGCATGGCAGGTCTTTCACAAAGGAGCTGCTAGTGCTTTGGGCAGAGATGGAGGAGACCCAAGGCCATGAGAGCCCTGTCCTGGGGCAGGGGGCGTAGAACCTGCCATGACTGACACATAGTAGCCACAAGAGGGACTGCCGAGGGCAAAGGCCCAGCAGGGCCCTGTTCCGAGGCAGGGGAGGAGCTGCTTTTAATTGCTGACCGGCTTCCTGAGCTCTGGCCTGGCTGGTGCTAGGGAGACAGCCACATGAGCAGAGGCCACAGCTGGCTCACTGGGCTCCCTCTCCCACCAGCTCCCCAGCAGGAGCTGACTCCCGGCCAAGGCCGACAGTAACACAGCAGTGCTCAGCACCAGGCCTCTCCCTCCGCCCTGTGTCTCCACACCCGTGGTTCTGAGCACATACTGCCTGCCCAGCCAGACCCACAAGAGGATTTAACCAAACGATCCAAAAAGTGGAAAAAACTGAAATGTCCATCAAATAATGAACGGATAAACCAAATGTAGGGCACCCACACGGAGCAGTCATCAGTTGCAGGAGGAATGAGGCTCTGACACACGCTACACCAGGGTGACCCTGGAAACTGCGCTGAAAGCAGCCAGTCACCAACTATCACACACCGGAACCCCATTCGTGTGAAACGCCCAGAAATGGCGAAGTCCATAGACAGGAGGCAGACAGCCAGGGCCTGGGGAAGGGGAAGGGAGTGGCTGCCCACGGGTCTGGGTGTCTCTGGAGCACGCACTGTCCTCGAACGGACCGCAGTGGTGGCTGCACAGCTCTGCGAGTATATGGAAGACCTCCAATGCACACACTTAGAACGCGTGAACTGCAGGGTATCTCGGTTAAATCTCAATAAAGCTGTTTTTTTTTAAATCTCTGCCCTGATGAATGAGGGAAGAGTGGAGAGAGCAGAGAGCATCCCTCCAGAAGCCCCAGGGGAAGGAGGCAGAGAATAAAACACGTGAGTAACCAGGACAGTAAGCAAGTATCCGTGCTCTGGGGAGTGGAAGCCAGACAGGGAGAGGGGTGCAGCTCCACCAGGCTGGAGACAGCGGCTGAGTCAGGACAAAGGCCTAGGAGGTAGGTTGCCAGGGGGGAAGAGCCCGGCGCTGCAGGGCAGCTCCAGGACACTCTGGGGCTCACAGCAACCTGGAAGGAAAGGGCCCTGCTGAGAACCGTGAGCTCTGAGCAGCTCTGAGTGTGGGGGAAGCAGCCCCAGCTTCTTGGATCCAGGAGCTCAGGGAGTGGGGCAGTCAGGAGTGAGGAGCTGCAAAGCCAATCCAGGGCCAGAGCAGTTCAGGGAACAGTCACCGACAGAGTGGCAGTGGGACACCAGGCAGCTGCAACACAACTGGACCCACGTGGAAAAGGGCCTGGGTTCATGCCCCACCCCTGGACCTCCCTGAAAACACTGGGTGTGTGTCTGTGCCCATGATTCTGACCACTGAGACAGGGTAGAGAGACTACCTCTCTGCCTCTGTCTCTTTCTCTCTCACGTAAGAAACTTTTAAAAAGATCAAAAATGAATGAACCAACTGCCCTGCTGCTGCCACCCGCCCTGCTGAAGGGACCTGAGGCCTGTTACCTTTCCAGCCCAGCTTGATGTTCCACTCATAGAAGAAAATCAGCTTCCCCTTACGGCTGCTGCAGGAAGCCTCGCCTTCCACCTGCTTCAGCTCACTGACCTCACAGTGGCCGGCCTCATTCTCCACCGCCAGGCCCACCAGGAGCTCCCGCAGCTTCCCCTTGGACCAGCTGGTGGCATCCCGCTCTGTCCTGCCAGAGACCGAAAGGGCACGGTGGTGAGTGGAAGCCCCAGCGGGTACCCACCTACCCAGCCTGGTACCAAGGTGATGCCGGCGCCCGGCCAGAACAGCCCAAGTCCTCTCAAGCCACCTCTGGAGACCTGCCGCCCTCCACCTCGCAGACCTTCACTTCCAACCTGCTCTCTACCAAACAGCTGTGAGCGCCCCTGCGGCGTGCCGTCCCCTGCGCAAGCACTACTGTGCCTTAGGAGCGCGGGCTTATTTGAGAGGAGGGTGTCGTACTCTCTCCCTTGGAGGAGGGCAGGCAAAGCCTGGGCCACTGGAAAAGGTGGTGACAACTGTGAAAACCTGAATCGTGACAATAGCAATCAAGCGGCTTCACACACACACACACACACACACACACACACACACACACACACACACACACACACACACACACACACACACACACACACACACACACACACACACACACACACACACACACACACACACACACACACACGTTTTCTTGCGCAGTTTTACCAAACAAAGTGTCCATTTCAGGAGACAGAATCCCGCTGACAGGAGTCAGGGAGGGTGCCCAGTGCGCACCGGGACCCAGACTCCGCGCCTCCTCCCCTCCCCGCTGCCTCTGCGGCAGGCAGGTGGGGGGCAAAGCGCAGAGAGCATCCCTCCAGGAGCCCCGGGGGAAGGAGGCAGCCACCACCCGGGTTCCCGGAGAGGCTCAGAAAGGATGGGAAGCTTATTCAAACTCAAGGAAGGCCCTGCTCCCGGGAGGCCATCAAGGTCAACGCTTGGTTGGGAGCCAAACCCCTGCTCTCCCCGGGATGCGCCGACACCGGCAGGACGCCCGGTGCGCACACGCACGCGCGCGCGCGCACACGCACTCCCCAGCGCCCTCTTAACTCCCAGAAGCATGGCCGGGGGCGGGGGCGCCCTAAGGGCACCGGCTGTCAAAGCCGACAAGGCGTGTCCAAACTGCCAGTGTCAGAATGTGCCCCCACGCCAACTTTCAACAGGAGGCTGAGGCCTAGGAGCCGAGCCGCCGTACACCCCTTGGCCCGCACCCAGCCTCCTCCCGCGTCCGGGGAAGAAGGGCGAGAAGCCTCGCACCCCGGCAGCTCCGGGCCCCGAGGCCCGCTCTCCCCCAGGGCGCCCCGAGGCCCCCAGCCCAGAGCCCCCCACCCCGAGGCGCCTGCAGGAAGGAGCCCGCGAGCCGCGCGCCCCGGCCGGCCGCACCAGTGCCAGTTGTTCGGTAGCGGCGGCTCGGTGGCCCGCGTTTCCGGCCTGCGATCCGGAGCCCCGAGCAGCGCGTCCGCAGCGCCCAGAAAGTGCCAGAAATCCCCGCCCCCGGCTCCACCCCGCCCCGCCGGCCCGCCCAGCTTCTCTCTGTTCCGCTCTGCCAAGCCGCGCCCGAGGAGCTCGCGGCCGGATTCCGGGATGCCCGGGCGCGGGAGGGCGCGGGGGCCGGGCCCGCGCTGGCCTTGCTCACTGTCGCCGCGGGGCTGATGTCCAGGGCTAGGGAACCCCGAGCCTGCGCGCCGTGCCGGATGCGGAGCGGGAGCGGCGGGCGGCCCCGCCCTGGGGCGCACAGGCCGTCTGCGGTGAGCTGGGGCCGCTGGTCGCACCCTCTTGCCGCAGCCCGCGCCCGCCCCCGCCGCTCCTTACTCCGCTCGGCCGAGAGCTCCTGCATCCTAGGTGCGCTGTGGGCGCCCCGCGTCCTGGACGCGGGGTCTCGCCTTCACAGCACCTCAGCTCCTCGGCATTTCAGGAATATTAGCATCTCCCTCGTGCAGCGGTCTTCGAATCCTCGAAGGATGGCAGAGGACTGCGACGGCAGCCGCTTTGTCGCAGCTCGACGCCGTTTCAGCGAAGTGGCCATCGATGACTGCTTCACGAGGTCATCTTCTAGCAAACACTTGCGCCAGCTTTTCGGCAATTGCCGAGCCGTGTGTGGACGTTGCCTTTGCAGAGAAGCTGGGCGGGATGGTGGAAGGTGCAACTACCTGGCCGTGCGCTCCCCCCCGCCCCCCGCCGTCTGAGCGCATTGCTGACATATGGGGAGGACATTCCCCCCGCCCGTGCTGACTGGCGCTGCCGTATTGGCCAACGTCTCCCCAAAGGTACAATTACTTAAACAGATTGTCTCTAGTGTTTTGACCCCAAAGTGACGTTTTAATTTCACCTAAATTTCACTCTTTACTTCACCAAACTATGGATGACCAACATGAGGCATCAAAGAACTGGAATCGCCATTAAGGGGGAGCATTTTCTTGTGGGCGCACCCTTTCTCCATTTCATAAAGAATCTTGCTGATAGGACATTACATGGTAAGATTAGATATGTATAATAATTTAAATCTGCCCCAAAACACGAGTTACCAGAAAACTTACAAAGAAGTTATAATCACTAAAATTTTAAGTGGATTTTTTTTTTGAGAGATTTTCACTGTAGGGCGCGTGCGCTCGCCAGACAGACAGAGAGAGACATAGAGACAGAAAGCGAGAAATCACCCCCCAGGGGGGATGGTCACGCCGCAATCCCTTCTCCTCCATTCTCCTCTCGGGATCTTGGGCACGCACGCACACGCGCCCGGCGTGAGTTTTAAGCCACCGGGTCCGGTCCCACTACGTGGGAGTCCAGCGACATAGCCATTACGCTAACTGCTGGTTCCCTAAAATTTTAAGTGGATTTAAAAAAAAAAAAAACTTTGTAATATTTACACTAAAAAGAAATCCCAGTGGAAATCATTTCATTAAAATGTAAATAGAGGCCAGGGACCAGCAGGTGGTATGGAAGTTGAGGTGTTGGACTCCCACATCAGCACCAGGGTTCAAGTCCTGGAACTGGTGGCTTGCTTTCTCACTCCCGTCCCCCCACTCCAGTCTCTGGTCAAATTTAAAAATGATAATAATGAATCATTCTTTTTAAAAAATGTAAATAGAAGGCCAGTAGGTGGCGTGGACTCCTGAACTGAACTCCTGCATGGCAGACTGCAGTTTGGTCCAGACCAGTGGCTTGAAAATCATGCCAGGCATATGTGCATGTGTGCCCAAAGTCATGAGAGGAGAAAGGGAGAGAAAGGATTGCAGGGTGCCCATCCCCCTGGGAGGTGATTTCTCACTTTCCCTCTCTCTGTCTCCCACAAGCACACAGCTCCCTACCACAAAAGCCTAACAGACAAACTGTAAAGGGAGGGCCAGCCAGTGGTCTGGTGGTAGAGGCAGCTGGATTCCACACGAACGGCCCTGGCTCAAGTCCTGGACCTCACGGCTTGAAAGACCTGCCACGTGGGTGTGCATGTGTGCCCCAAATCCTGAGAGAATGAAAGAGAGAGGATTGCGGTGTGGTCATCTCCTCCCCCAGGAGATTTTTCACTCCCTCTCACTGCCTTTGCATCCTCCTCTCATTCTTCCTGCATCTATCATAGTCTCACTCTGTTACCTTCCTATTCCAGATCCACGTTGTTCAAGTCTGATTGTCCTCATAGCTGTATCTCCATTTACCTTCTAGTTGCTACTCTTCGGTAACACAGTCCTGGAGGACAGTTCTCTGGACTCCTTCCATTACTGCCTTACGCCGTTTATTATGGTGTTACTTAAAGATATGTAGAAACTTGGGACCAGCAGATGACGTAACAATTATGTCACTGGACTCCCACATAACCGACCGCAGTTCGAGTTCCGGACCTGGCAGCTTAGACTCACGCTCGGCGCATGTGTGCGTGTGCCCAAAATCCCAAGAGGAGAATGGAGGAGAAGGGATTGCAACGTGGCCATCTCCTGCCCGCCCCTACCCCCCCGGGGTCATTTCTCACTTTCTGTCTCTCTGTTTCTCTCCGTGTCTTCAGCGATTACACGTGTCCTACAGCAAAAATCTCTAGCCACCGAAGTGGGCAGCACAGACCAGCCGCCGGTGTGGTGGTGGCCGAGGCGACTAGATCCCCCACGGCTAACCTGAAATCCTGAAAGGAGAAATGGAGACGCGTTACAGTGCGGCCATTTCCCAGGGGAGGTGGGGTTGGGGGGAGATGCTTTCTCACTTCCCCTCTCTCTGTCTCTGTCTCTCTCCAGCAAGTATATGTGCCTCTGACAAATTTCTTCAAAAGAAAAAGAAAAAAAATAACTAAAATGGTTAGTTATTTTATGTTATGTATACTTTACCACATATTATCATCAGGTACAAGACCAACATTTTTTTTTAATTATTTAATTTTATTTATTCATTTAGACCAGAGGGGGACAGTGAGAAGAAGTGAGGAAGCAAGCCACCAGGTCTGAAACTTGAACCGCAGTCGGCCATGTGGGAGTCCAGCGCCCTTAACCACCACGCTACCTGCCGGCCCCGTGATTTTTAAATGCCTGTAGAAACCTGGTCTCTGCTTACTTCTGCAGGCCCCTCCCAGCATGCACTGTTGTAATCCATTCTCCACCCTCCACCCCTGCCTAGGATCCAAATGCCGCCTCGCTCTGACTTCTCATTACACATCACTGTCACCTCTTAAGACCCTCAACATGGGCCTGCAGCTGCAGCTCACTTGAGTTCACCACACTCCATACTCTCACCTCCGTGCCCTGCTGGTGCCTTCCCATCTACTTTTTGGTGTTTTTTTTTTAAAGAATTATTTTCTTTAACTTACTTTCTTTCTTCCTTTCTTTATTTATTTTAATTTGACCAGAGAGGGACAGGGTGAGAGACAGAGAGAGAGGGAAAGTGAGAAAGCAACCATCAGGTCCAGTACTCGAACCATAGTCGGCCATGTGGGAGTCCAGTGTCCCTAACCACTACACCACCTACCGCCCCCCCCCCCAATCTGCTTTTATTATAATCTTTCCATTTGGCTAAGTCCCTTTTCTTTCAAACAGTGCAATGGTTCCAGCCCACAGGAATTTACCCTCCACCAAAAGGTGTCCATACACCCTATTCAGCCCTAGCCAGACCTTCTCCAACTTATCCTCCCAGTCATTCAGCCAGCATTTACCGTGCATACAGGCTCCATACATGACAGCTTGCCAGGCCTCTGAATCATGCGGCATCTCCTGATATTTCTCTTTCTCACAGTCTCTCTCTTTTTTAAAAAATAATTATTTATTAATTTTTATTTATTCATTCATTTATTTTTAATTTGACAGAGAGAGAGAGAGGAAGAAAAAAACAAACCCACCAAGCCCAGGACTCGAACCATCGTCAGCCATGTGGGAGTGTCCAGTGCCTTAACCACCATGCCACCTGCTGGTCCCCCTCTCACAGTCCCTTATGTATTTCATGCATTTATTTCAATGGTTTTGGATGATGGTGTACCACTCTGTACTGTCAAATTCCGCATACAGACAGCACATTTTAAACTACTGAAATCAAGAAGAGTGAACCTCAGGACTCACCTAAAACAACAGGCTATTCTGTCTTGTTTGTAGTAGTTTGGTTTTTTTTTTGTTTTTTTGTTTGTTTGTTTTGGTTTGGTTTTTGGGTTTTTCTTTCGCTATAGGGCGCATGCGCTCGCCAGACAGACAGACAGAGACATAGAGACAGAAAGTGAGAAATCACCCCCCAGGGGGGATGGCCACGCCGCAATCCCTTCTCCTCCATTCTCCTCTCGGGATCTTGGGCACGCATGCACACGCGCCCGGCGTGAGTTTTAAGCCACTGGGTCCGAGACACGAACCGTGGTCGACTACGTGGGAGTCCAGCGACATAGCCATTACGCTAACTGCTGGTTCCCAGTAGTTTGTTTTTTGTGTCAATCGTTTTTTAGAGAAATTTTTGCTATTAGGCACATGTACTCACTGGAGAGACAGACAGAAAGCGAGAAATCGCCACCCAGGGAGGGTGGCCACGCTGTTATCCCTTCTCCATTTTCCTCTCAGGATCTTGGGCACACACGCACACATCCTGGTGTGAATTTTAAGTCACTGGGTCTGGGACTCGAACCATAGGCGGACACATAGGAGTCCAGCAACGTAACTGTTATGCCTTCTGCTGGTCCCTGTACCAATCTTTTTAAAAAGCAGTTGCTGGTACAAGCAAGGCCACAGGCCTGAGTTCAATAGGGATCATGAAGTGAGGTGAACAATGACAGCCGTCATGTGACTTGGTCACGCGTGCCCGTGGTAGAGCCTCCGGGACACGTGCTGTTTCTAGTCTCCCTGGAACGTGACTTACCTAAGAGACATCTGCACAACCCAACTTTATTTACACGCTGCAACAGTGTTGGAGTAGACAGAGTCTCAAGGACACTTAATACAAATTTATTGAACTCAAATTTAAGTTTTTTTAAAAACTATACTCAAACTCTGAGTTTTTTACTTACAGAATTTTGCATGTGGCTCACTTCTTTCTACACAGAGGTTAACTACTAGCTGTGTTTGCTTAATTCCCCATTATTTTGATGTTTCCACATGAGTTTGTACCCTCTCTTTTCAGTGTCGGTCATGGGCAACATTCTTTCACTCTCAGACTTTCGGAGTTTCATTTTCTCTCTTTATGCTCTCGAGTATAGCTTCGAGGTCCAGGATACTGGTTCCCAAGATCCACGACAATGACCTCCCGAGAAAACGTCACTCCTTTTAAAGGTCTTTTCTGGTTATCAACGACTGAAGTTGTTCTAGTGGCAGGTATATGTTCTTTCTGCAAATTGTCACCCTGCAAAAGAATTGGACAAGTAGTATAATGATTAATTTATGAGTATAACAAGCTCTGCTTTAAAAAATATAGTTAAATATTGTCAATAAGAAGTGGAAAAATAGGGACCAACAGTTGGCATAATGGCTATGTCACCGGACTCCCATGTAGTCGACCACGGTTCGAGTCCCAGACCCAGTGGCTTAAACTCACGCTGGGCGTGTGTGTGTGCGTGCCCAAGATCCCAAGAGGAGAATGGAGGAGAAGGGATTGCGGTGTGGCCATGCCCCCTGGGGGGCGTGATTTCTCACTTTCTGTCTCTGTCTCTCTGTCTTTCCAGCGAGCACACATGTCCTATAGCAAAAAACTACCCCCCAGGAAAAAAAGAAAAATGGAAAAATATTTTCTCACCTTCCTTTTTTGTTTTAATTTGTTACAGGGTGCAGACACTTGCCAGAGAGAAAGAAAAAAGTGAGAATGAAAAAGAAACCACCCCCAGGGTGGATGGTCATGCCACAGTCCCTTCTCCTCCATTCTCCTGGCGTATACGCTAGCATGTTTTTCAAGCTGCCGGTCCAGGACTTGAACCATGCAACGAGTCATGTGGAATCTAGTTGCCTTAACTACCATGCCACTGACTGGCCTAAGAAGTATTTCTAAATCATAGAGGGAAGCAGAGATCATTCATCATGATCACGTTTTCATAGTTCTATGGTTAGAAAAGCATATGTTGACATATTCCAATAATATTTGATGACTCGTGTGATCTCTGAGGTGAGCAGTCCCAAGAGCCACCTGGCCACCATTCTGCGGTGGGCTGGGCCTGCTCATGTGCTGGGAGGGATGCGACTTGTTCTTGTCAGGGAGCCCCGGGCATGGCGGCCAGGAGGGCCCTGGCAACGTTTGCGTGCTGCTGTGGCAGGCCCTGGAGCTAGAGCAGGGGCCTGGGCTCTGCTCCTGAGCGCAGCCAGGGAAAAAAGGAAACAAGGCATCTCGGTTTGCCATTTGTAAAATGAGAGGTGGGGTCACTAGATCTCCAAGGTCTCTGACAGTGCCGAGGTCTCGGGGTTTGGAGAACCCCAAAATGAAGAGGAATTAATAAGGGAAACACAGTGTAAAGTGAAGAAGGAGCACACTTCTAGGCTTGGCATACATTACTGGTTTAATAACATGAATTGATAGGCTAAACAGGATGGTTTAAATGCCTGTGGACACTGGACTCCTCCCAGGTACAGACCGAAGTTCCAGGTAACACCATCCCTTACCGTTACACCTGGCTGAATGATTTACCTCCTTTTCCATCAAAGATAAACTCTAAACTGTCCTTGAGAATAGAAGAGCGCATCACCTCTTGCCCAGTTTCTTCAGCGTGCTTGGGCTCTTGCCTCTCTTTTGTTTTGTCCTCCTCCTCTGCCTCCCCGTCCTCTCTGTTTTCTAAGGCTGTGGCCACCTCTTCCTTACTCCTCCTCTGGACGAGAATGCCAGGCCTCATCGGTGCATTCAAGTTTATGATTTCCATTAGGATCCTGGAAAATCAGCAGCAGGAGTTGAACAATCCATGCAGCTTAGTATTTAGTCCCTGTCACCACACCAAACATGCTTTCTACCACATTCTAGAATACAGACTTACTTTTCTTGCTCTCCTGAATTTTTCCTCTCCACATTAGCAGCTAAACAGTCCTCACCTCTGTGGGCATCTGTACAAGGGACAGATGTTTCTTCCCCTCTGTTGCCTTGGAAACTGAAAACAAAAAAGCAAAAAATTCAGAAAAGGAACAATGGCCCTGATTTCAAGGTGTGGCATGGGAACTTCACTTTTAAACAGGAAATTAGTATTTCTATAACCCTGAAATGCAAAAGGTGGATAGCTACAGCATTATACTTGTTCTGTTTTGAATTATTTTATATTATGCTTAGATATATTTGCTAGAGTGACTTGAAATCTGATCCCCACTTATCAGCATGAATGTATACCATTTATATAAAAAAATCATCAATAAAAAGAGGATGCAAATGAGGCAAATTAGAAGGATGATGAAGAAAGTGAATGCTGTGGTTTCAAAGCTCATAGGGCTAGCTAGAGGTCTCCTCCACTCTCACAATCCCAGATATTCTTTTCCAGCTCAGTTCGAATGGAGTTCTCTTGTTCATTAAGTTTTCTAGAAACAGAAAAATAAAAAGCTGTTTTCATTGTTGCTCTTTTGATCGGTTCAGCTTCATTAAAAAGTCACTCTGCTTGATTTGGTGGAGTTGACTCACACGGGTTAATTTCTCTCCATAAATGTGGTGGGGCTGAGGTGGCCAGAGGGGAGACCGAGCTGGGACACGTGTGATCGGTCCGCTCACCTCCCCTCACCCCAAAAACTATCTGAATCCAGAGGAGAGAAGAGTTGGAGCAGCTGGAGCTGAGTCCAGTTCCCCATTTCTTCTCTTTTCAGTGACATCATAGAATCATGGAACCATTAGAGACCACAGCCCAGCCCAGCTCAGCCCATCACCAGGGGGCACGAGAACCACGACACTCTCTGGGCTGTCGCTCGACCGTCCACTCCTCTGAGAGGTCCAGGTCAAAACCACATGGCATTGTCTGGACCATTCTTTGGATAAGTATTTCTTTCTGTTCTCTAAACACCATTTTTCCTTTTCAGATCCGAGACCATTTCTTTTGCTCCTCTTTCACAGACCATGGACAGTTGGTCTACTTCCTTCTTTGAACAACCTTTCGCCCAGAGGTCAGTAGGCAACTTATTTCCTCATGGTGTTCTCTCCAACTAAGCGGCCCATATCCTTCTAACCCTGCCTCACTGGACCTACTTCCTAGAGACACGAGAAAACTGGTAGCTCTAAAGGCCATGGCTGAGGTGATCAAAGTGAAAACAACCCTCCAACCCCAACCTAACTTCAGGTAAGAGTGAGTGTGAAAAGGAGGGAGAGGATAGACCTGGGGATTTTCTGAGAGGACAAGGTGGGTACGAAAGAATATGACAATTGGGACCATATGTTGCTGGACTCCCACGTAATTAAGCATGGCTCGAGTCTCAGATCCGGGCTTAAAATTCACGTCAGGCACGTGTGTGTGCATGCCCAAGATCCCAACAGGAGACTAGAAGAGACTGTGGCATGGCCCTCCTCCAGGGGGGCATCTCTCACTTTCTGTCTCTCTGGTGAGTGCACATGCCCTATAGCAAAAATCTCTCTAAAAAATAAAAAATAAAATAAAAAATAAAATAAAAAGATGGCTGCTAATTATATCTAAATAAATTAGAGGTGAACCTGTGCATGGGGAGAGTCTCTGTCCATTTTGTGCTGCTGTAACAGCATATCACAGAGCAGGCCATTTAAAAAGAACAGAAATTCATTTCTCACAGTTCTGGAGGCTGGGAAGTCCAAAATCAAGATGTGGACAGGTTAGGCCCTAGTCTCTCTCCCAAGATGGTCTCTTGAATGCTGGTCTTCTGAAGGGGAGGAACACTGTGTCTCCACACTGTTGCATCCAAGATTATGGTTCTGACACAGGAATCTTGGAACGGTCACATTGAAACCTTAGCAGAGTGTCTTTGGGCTATAGTGACAGTGGCCCTCTTCTGAAAGGACAGGGACTGTAGCATCTTTATCTTTGGATGCTCCACCAATTTGGGCCCTGCACATTCCAGATGTGTTGAACATACAGGTGAGTACAAGTGTGTGTATGATATATGTAGACACAAATCTAGTGTGTTGAGGGCAAAGCCTAATTTTTCAGAAATTATAAATGCCTGAGTCACTCCTGGTAGAGCCAGCAGAATTCCTGGCTGATTCCTGCAGCCATGGCTCCCAGGTGAAGACTTAGAACCCGTCTCACGCTCCACACACTAAGCACTCCAAACTGCACACACACCCTGCACACATAAAGGCAGGAGATGCAAATATTTAACATCAATCTACAGGTGGTTACACAGCGTATAAATATGTAATAACGCTTCAGACTGTGTACTTAACATTCATGTGCTGCAGGCCCTCTACTGTCTGGAAATTACACCTGCATAAAAAGGAAAGGGGCATGCTGGATCCCACATGGCCCACTGAGTGGTTCAAGTCCCAGACCTGGTGGCTCAGGAAACACAGCAGGCATGTGTGTGTGTGTACCCGAAATCCCAAGAAAAAAGTGGAAGTGAGGGAATTATAGCATGGCCATCACCCTAGGGGGTGATTTCTCGCTTTCCCTCTCTTCATTATCTCTTTCTCTGTCTCTCTCTCTGGTGAGTCTCTCTCTCCTGCCCTCTCACTTGATGCAGAACACACGTCCCCCTGCCTGTACCCAATGGCTTCTTACTCTGTCTCGCTCTAGTCGCGGGCATGCTAGGAAGTGACAAAAATTTTCAGATTCTTTTCCTCACCTTTCACATGGTTTTGTTTTGTTTTGTTTTGTTTTCAGAGATTTTTTGTATAGGGTGCACATGTTCACCGGAGAGACAGAGAGAGAGAGAGGGAGAGAAACAAAAAAATGATAAAATCATCCACCAGATGATTTGGCTACACCACAGTCCCTTCTCTTGGGATTTTGGGCATGCATGCGATATGCACCTGGAGTGAGTTTCAAGCTGCTGAGTCTGAGACTCAAGGCCAGGTTGACTGTGTGGGAGTCCAGCACCTTAACCACCATGCCGCCTGCCGGCCCCTCTTCCACACATTTCTTCCTGCACACGGACACGTTCATCCTGTTATTAAACCTGTTTCTTTTCCTCCCTTCCTGTCTCTCTCTTTCTCCCCCTCATGTTTTAGATGAGGTCTCAGTAGGTTGCCAGGTCGGCCTGAATTTTCTGTCCTCCTGCCTCAGGCTCCCACGTACCTGGGGCTACAGGCGTGCACCACTCTGAGCAGTTCCCAAACCTGTTTCACAGTTCTTAACAATAAGAACGCCTGACATCAGGGCCGACAGATGGCATGGTGATTAAAGGCACTGGACTCCCACATGGCCAACTGTGGTTCAAGTCCCGGACCTGGCAACTTGCTTTCTCGGTTTCTCTGTCTCATCTCTCTCTGGTGAGTGCATGTGCACTATAAAAATATTGAAAAATAAACAAATAAATAAATACCCAATATCAACCTAAAGTGCTCCCACTCACAGAGATATTTATATCGTGACACAGGCTTATGGTAAAAGCAGGACGGTGAGTAGAATGTTGGGCATCCGCCTGCAGGCGGGGATTTTTCTTTGTCGCAGGGTCGGTTTCTGGTTCCCTCAGCATCTGCCACATTGGGGTCAGACACTAACTCTTCCTAGCTGAGCATCTTGCCCCACTTCCCACCTCTTGCCTTGGATGGCCAGAGGATCTGTACTTGAGACAGGGCTGCAGCAACCTGTGCTCTAAGTGGGTCCACAGTGCTGGCCAGTGTCCAGTCACCTCCTGAAGGCCTTGATCCTTGTGATCTGGCCATAACATGACCCCTGGATGACAGGAGGAGGTGAGGACATTCAGAGGACTCGGGCATAGCTGCCTGAATGTGGACACAGGACTATCCTGTGATGGAGGGCTATCTAAATTTGGTCTCCAAGTCACATTTCTGATCAGGACAGTCCACAGTCCAAAGGTTGACATAGGAGCTCAATCCACTCTGTTATCCATTCGTCTCCGTGTAAAGACATTTGCAGGAATTACCTCACAGAAGAAAGTGGGGCCTAGTATATGGAGAGAAACAAATTACAAATGACACTGCTTGATCCAGCCATGCCTGAAGCCTTCTCTTACGGTGTGGGTGGGAAACTGGACTTCCAGTTGTGTGAGCCAGGGCCTTTCCTTTTTACTTTAAGCTGGTTTGAGTGGAGTTGTCTCTTGCAGTTCACAAACTCTGACCAACACAGTGTCTTAGCCAACACCGTACTGCCTCCCTTTCTGAGCCCTTGGCACACGAGGCGTGGCGCCTGGCCCACGTGTCCTCGCCTTACTTGCTGCATGTTCAGTAGCTTCCCTCCAGCCTTAGATGGCAGGTGAAACAAAACAGGTGCTTTCCTCTTTTATCAGATTAGTGCAGCCATTTCCCTCCACCGGCTAGTGGGGGCGCTTAGAGGTCTTGGGATCCAAATGTCTTCCAGGAAGCGTGAGAAACTGAGAATCATCCGGATGGCACTCGAAGCTCCCAGAGCTGGGTAAGCAGCATCACATTCCCGGCTCCAGCACCCAGGCACACACCCGTCTCTGCGCCTTCTGGAGTCCCTTCCTCGTGTTGGCAGGGATGGTGCAGTGAGGGTGCGGATTCGGCCATGGCGGCCCTCACTGCAGCAGCCTCACCCTCCTGGTTTGTGGGTTGGTGGGCTTGTGGAGGCACGTGCGGCTGCGAGCTGAGCTGAGTCCTCTCGCCACCCACTTGGGCAGCTTCTGCTTCCACCCATGCTACATGGCTAGCGAGGATCAAGTTCCAGAGACTTTTCTTTTTCTTTTCTCTCTCTCTCTTTTTTGTAGCTTGTATAGGATATGTGCGCTCTCCAGAGAGAGAGAAAAAGAATAAGAAGTCACCTCCCGGGGGATGGCCATGCCACAATCCCTTCTCCATTCTCCTCTCAGGATAGTGGGCATGCATGTACATGCACACGGACCTGGCGTGTTTCTCAAGCCACTGGGTCCAGGATTTGAACTGTGTAATCAGCACCCTAAAAGCTGTTAGGTTT